TTGTGACTCTTTCGCTAACACATTTCCCTCTCTCACTGCATTGCAGAAGAAGCGTCTCTCGCCCCACAAAGCTACGTTAGTTCAAAGAGAAAACGAAGTAGGTTTCAACCAAATTCTTATCTGTTATAATCTGCTTATACGTCTATAATAACATCTTTTGTTAGGAGAATGTATCTATGGCGGCGGTACTCATTACTTGGCCTTAACCTCTACGGACAGATAAACATATGCACAACGAGGGCCATGATCGTGAAACACAGAGATCATCTTCGGCGTGCTTATGGATATAGCGCATAGGCCTTTACTCGGCATTTGTGTAAAAAACCACTTCCAGAGCTGCGTGGGTGTATAGAAGTGTCTGCTTATATGAATGGTAATTGTGCCTAAGGTTTGCATTGTGTTTAGTTTTGATGTCCACGAAAGATATCCATGATAATTTATAAAATTATGGCTCATTATCTTAAATGAACTAGTATACTTACAACATCGATCAACTTGGCGAATGAAGTATCAGTAATCCGATGTTTGGAGAAGTCGAACAACACGCGACCATCAGGAGTGTCAATAGAACGCCTGCAAAACTCGAACACTTTCAATTTCCCCGCGACAAACGAAAACTTTAATTTTCATATAGATTCGATTTCAGAAAACTCACGTGTATTTATTGAAACGTTCAGGATCGTTGAGCAATTGTTGGTAGATGCTTAGCTGCTCCTTTTCGTGACTATCGACGAATGCTTTGAGATCTTGAAATTTGGCATCTCTGCACAGCGACATTCCTGATGAAAGGCTTATCGTATCGTATGTTCGCGATGGCGGTCTCGCCACAATATCACGCGAAATTCGTTAACGGTTGGAAAATGACAATGAATCTACTCGAACTTTGCACAAATATCCTAAATGAGATAGCATTGAGTTGGGAACAGAAGTAATAAAAAAAAGAAGAAATTGAAGAAGAAAAAGAAAAAAAANTCGCCCCACAAAGCTGCGTTAGTTCAGAGAGGAAACGAAGTAGGTTTCAACCAAAATCTTACCTTTTATAATCTGCTTATACGTCTATAATAACATCTATTGTTTGGAATGTATCTATTGTAGCAGTACTCATTACTTGGCCTTAACCTCTACAGACAGATAAACATATGCACAACGAGGGCCATGATCGTGAGACACAGAGACCATCTTCGGCGTGCTTATGGATATAGCGCATAGGCCTTTACTCGGCAT